AAACCAATAGTGTAATCGATGGAAAAACATTCATTGAATTCATAACAGAAAATTCTTCTTTTCGTTACCTTTCTTGTTCTCTATTTCTCTGTTGGGGCTAGTCCCTTAACATAGTGTCGCCCTTTCTACATGTGTGATATATAAAAAAAAGTCTTGCATTGATTGTTACTTAGAATTTAAGCAGGTTAAAAAATGAAGATATCTAGTATATGCTTTGGTTTATACGGTGGTGAAAATATATAAAAGTCTAGCATTGATTGCTGGATTGTTTATATGGTGGTGACTGTTGAGGAGGTGATGTGTGTAGGAGTTCAACAGTAGCTTAATAGATAAGTAGTGATATTGGATATTGTAATATAATTGAGAGCTGATGTAATTGTATAGCTGCATAAATAGAGTCAATAAGCTGTTAGGAACGTGCTAGAAGCGGTGAGTTAGTGAGGTGTCACTTACGTGGCTTATTCACAAGCTCCTCCTATAAATAGAGTTTTGATGTAAAGAAACCGATATCAGAAATAATAACCCTTTTTTACTCTTGTTTTAATTCTCAGAGCAACTCTGCTCTATCAATGTGCATGAGTCATGGCCACATATAACAGCTCTTGATTGATCCTGGTGAATGCTTGTTAGATTGTTGGTATGCCATGCCAGCATGTTGGCTAAGAAGAGCAATATTAGAGAAAATAAATATTAATGCAGGGGATTTCACCCCATTGGTGAAAACAACCTTTAATATACTGAGATTGACATATTATTCATATATCATGTTATGTCAAGGGATTTGTATTCTAACCTCTTTAAATTTGTGTCATGCATTCATATATGTATTGTGTCATAATGTGTGTTATCAACCCAAATTTTCAGTCCTAAATAATGGTATCCATGCAACTTGCAAGTAAACAAATACCCTTTCTGGTCACAAGCAAACAGACAACAGCTCAGTTGGTATTAAAAAAATAAGGTGAAAGTATATGTTTCATCCTTATTATTAAAGGAAAGAATTTAAAATCCTAGTCTCCACATCTGTATCGAATAGTTCGTTTGATATCTCAAGACATATTGCAACAGTAGCAAAGGAAGTTCATGTAGCAGCAAAACTGAATCCAGATTTAATGGGTATGAAGTTGAAAAATAATGGCAATATAAGCTTTCATACTATGGTATGTAAAATATTATTATGAACACAGCTTCTTAGTAACTTTTTAATTTATTTTGGTCATTTATTAAATGAATTTTTCAAACTCCAGGTTAAAACATTATTATTTAACCCACTTAATTAATTAAAATAATTTGAGTACTTTACATTATATTTATATACATTACTTTCTTAAGAATATGATATTGGTGATTCTCATTATATCTTTTTGCTAGATAAAATGTGTAGATAAAGATGGCTTGGTTGCCTTTGAAGATGGATTCTCTATACATGCAGATGCCATAATCCACTGCACAGGGTACAATCAGAAAGTTTCATACATTTTGTCACTTTCCACTTTCCAGATATCCTTCCTTGCCATATTTACATTTTTGATTGATATGAAAAATGATTATCTATCTATTAAAATAAAATAAAAATGATTATCTATGTAGTTAATGATTTCATGGAATATGACAGATACAAGTATCACCTTCCATTCCTTGAAACCAATGGAATAGTAACCGTTGATGATAATCGCGTTGGTCCAATATACAAACATGTCTTTCCTCCTGCATTGGCTCCATGGCTCTCTTTCATTGGTTTACCCTATAAGGTTATTATCAGAATTTATTATTTTTTTAATTTTTTTTGGGTGAAGAATTATTTTTTATTAATATAGAATTTTTCAAGCCAAATATTAACGATTTAGAGTGATATATATATATATATATATATATATATATATATATATATATATAATTTATTGAAATAATTAAGGTTAATTATAACTTGCTGGGCCAGGATGCTGTTTTTCATGTATCTGAGTTGCAATCCAAATGGGTTGCAAAGGTTTTATCTGGTAAGGTTCACTTACCTACGGAAGAAGAGATGACGGAATCTGTTAAAGACTACTACAAACTCATGGAGGAAAATGGGTTGCCCAAGCGTTACACTCATTCCCTTCGTCCATTTCAGGTATGTGATAGCAATGGAATAGTTATATCCAATGTTCTCAAAATAGAGTTTCTACCTAAAAATAGAAGGGAGTGATAGAAACGTAAATCGTAAAAATCTCACGAAACGTAAAGTTTTTACGTTTCAAGATACGAAGTTATATATATATATATATATATATATATATATATATATATATATATATATATATATATATAGGCAAGATCCTTTAACACCGGTGTCAAATTTGAAATTTGACATCTCATCTGCGAGCCGTTAGTTCAAAAAAGATCAATGGTGTCACATGCTTACAAATCAGAGTCGTTGATATTTTTTGATCTAACGGCTATTAGATAAGGTGTCAAACTTTAAATTTGACACCGGTGTCAAAAGATCCTACCCCACATATATATATATATATATATATATATATATATATATATACATGTAAAAAAAAAATCATATAAGTCACTACTCAAAATTCAATGAATAACTTCATATTTAAAATATACAAGTTACATAATTATATAAACTATATAAGACATAAGTCCAAAAACACAAAAAAAAGTTTAACAACTCCTATAACCAAGTTCCATAACATCAAAAGAATAAAGTTTAATAACTCTTAAATAGAAATACAACGGCCTCGCGTGAAGATTCTTTTTGCGAGGATTCTTTTTTTTTCAAATAGTTCGAAGAAGTTACTGTGCATTTGATTTGGAGAATGAAAATAGTGTTTATTTTATTTTATTTTATTAAAAATATAAAAATAAAACCAGTCATGGGTTAAAAGTTGATCTGGTTTGATTTTTTTGTTTAAGTTAAAACGTAAAAACTTGTGTTTCAATCGTTTTTACGTTTTTACACGTAGTTTTTACCACTTTTTACTAAGGAGAATTTTTACTTGTGTTTTAAGACGTATCACCTTAGTAAAAATGATAAGTTTATATTTTTACACTAGTTTTTAACAACATCAACAACCATGGTTATACCCAAGTATAAATGTGACATTTTTTAAGGTTAGGGTAGCTTTACTTTTCTGAATTTACTTATTTGAAAATGACTCTGGCAGGTTGACTACAAGTACTGGCTAGTTGAACAAATTGGGATGCCTCCGTTGGTAGATTGGAGTGAGAATATGTTTGCAGAGTGCTTTAAGAATTTTCTCGAAAATAACGAAAAATCCAGAGATGAATGGGATGATGTTTATTGGGATGCCATCATTCAAAGTGCATCAGCTTCCTAAAAGCAATGACATTGCATTTCCCCTGCGAGGTGATGTGTGTTACGTGTAGGAGTTCAAGGAGAACATCTGGGCCCCCTAGCTGGGCAGTGGACTACATTCAACAGTAGCTTAATAGATAAGTAGTGATATTGGATATTGTAATATAATTGAGAGCTGATGTAATTGTATAGCTGCATAAATAGAGTCAATAAGTTGTTAGGAACGTGCTAGAAGCGGTGAGTTAGTGAGGTGTCACTTACGTGGCTTATTCACAAGCTCCTCCTATAAATAGAGTTTTGATGTAAAGAAACCGATATCAGAAATAATAACCCATTTTTACTCTTCTTTTAATTCTCAGAGCAACTCTGCTCTATCAATGTGCATGAGTCATGGCCACATATAACAGCTATTAATTGATCCTGGTGAATGCTTGTTGATTGTTGGTATGCCAGCATGTTGGCAAAGAAGAGCAATATTAGAGAAAATAAATATTAATGCAGGGGATTTCACCCCATTCATAAGAATATAGATGGCTAGATCCCTTGTTCATTTTGGTTAAGCATATTGAGCATATTTATTGAATGATTAAAAAATAAAAGCATTAAGAACTTAGGTACTTTTATGTAAATTACCTCACAGATGTTAAGCATATAGGCAACTTGGATTTGCACAAATCACTTTAGTTATAGTTTTACGGTGAAGAGGTTGTATCAAAGTTGAGTTTGTATTCTAACAATAAACACTCCCAAACTACTCATAATGGTCCCTAACTAAATCTAAAATCTAGCTAGGACTATATTCACAAGGGTAATAGCAGATAGAGCACTTGTATTAAAAAAAAAAAAAATAGAGCACTTAATGCATAGTTAATCCCAAGAAAGCTAATATAAATAATGCATGTATGGGACAAGAGTAACTCATCCTTCAAGCATTTCCCTTTTTCAGATTTGGCCTATTTGTTTTCTTTGCTCCCCTGTTGCTTATTGCCAGCTTCTGTTATGCTCCTTCTGCTATAGCAACAACTGAAGTTTCAGGTTTGTGGCTCATGCTGACACTCAATGAAGAATGGAAAACTATTAATGAATTGTGTATATTTCTTGAGACTTGAGTTTTGAGGAAATAGAGACCATACCACTTAGACATAACACTTCATACACTAAATTCAGTCAGTGAAAATTATGGTTACTTGCTAGTTAGACTTTGACTGTTATTATTGTCATCCAAATTAATTCAAATCAATGATTTATTTTAGCATCAACATGCATGTAAATTGTGGTATATTCTGCTTCTTGACATCTAGTAGTATGGTCACCAAAGTGGTATAATTATTTTGCTATTTTGACTGGCACATAATTTTTTTTTTCTTTTTTGTATTTATATATTCACTCTATATCTATCTACATGAAAGAATTCAAATTTACTATCATAGAACTATATATTATGTATTTAAGTGATGTACTTTTGCATTTCTTACACAGGGAATGAAGTGAACACTGATGGGAAGCTTGTAAATGAGCAACTGACAAAGACAAGCCTAGGAGGACATAATGAAGAAGAAAAATTCAAAGGATTTTTTTTCCCAAAACCAATTCCAATTGTTAAGCCTTTCCCTAAGCCTATTCCAAAGCCAACTCCCATTGTTAAGCCTATTCCAAAACCATTTGCAGTGAAAAAGCCAATTCTTGATGTTGAGCCAGAGTTAATTTTCAAGATTAAGCCTATCAGGATAAAGCCTTTTCCTAAACCGCTACCGCCTTTACCTAAAAGGCCTTTTCCTAAAGTGAAGAAATCAAAATTTCCAAAACATTCACAAGCCAATTCACAAGCCAATTCCAACTCCATAATATGATAAGATCTTCCTCCGCATTCTATTAAACTTACCATGCTTAAAAAGTTTACCTTTCCATTTCTATAGTCTCTATATATATAGCTACGCCTGTATCTCAGACATCAATTGGGTTAGCATAATCCAATTGTATACCAATCTTGTGTATTTTATTGGAATATATGTAATTAATGCCTTCGCTTTAATAAAGTTCTAAGGATTGCTCTTGTAACTCGATTCTATTAATCCATGAGTGGTACTGATTTTTTTTTTTTTGTTTCAATTTAATTTTTAAGGGAAATATTACTCTCACGTTATATCAGAGAATTTTTAAATGAAATATTACTCTCACGTTATATGAGTGGTACTGATTTTTTTTTTGTTTGTTTTAATTGTATTTTTAAGGAAAATATTACTCTCACGTTATATCAGAGAAAAATTCTTTGATGCAGTCACAACCTCTGAAGCACGGACTCGTGCATTTTTTAAAAATGTGCGTGTCGGACACGCTCCGACACACGTCTGACACGCAGTCAATATTTTAGGACACACGATCAACTCTTCGACACTTTCCGACATATTTTTTTGACACGCAGTCAACTTTTTTCGACACGTGGTCAACACTCTGACATGTTTTTTTTATTCTTAATTTTATTTTATTAACTAAAAATTAAAAAATTATTTATAAATCAATTTTTTTCTGTTATGAAATTTGACATAAAAGATTAACAAGGTACAAAAAATTATTTTTGTTTATATTTATGTTATGAAATTTGAATATTTGATTGGTTATATAACTTATTATGGACTGTTATATCTGTTAAATATAAATTATATTATATATATTGAAAATATTATTTAATATTAAAACGTGTCCCAACGTGTCAAAATATGCCATTTTTTAGAATTAACGTGTCGGCGAGTCGTGTCGTGTCCCGTGTCAGTATCCGTGCATCATAGGTCACAACTTAGAGGAGAGAGGAGAGAGATTTTTTTTTTTTTTTTATCTCTTATAACATAAGAATAATATTCCCCTATTTTTAATGGAAAAAATATTTGTCTTTTTAAAAAAACATTAATTTCAGTTCAGATTATTTTATATTTCGTTAAAAAAATTCTCACTTTCTCCGATTATAATATGTTTTTATTACCATAAAATAGTAATTTTGACAAAATGACACAATTTTGAATCATTTCAAAAGGACAAACACCATCCTGTAATTCTTTTTATTATTTGTGTGATTTACATTTTGAGCAAAGCTACTCGTACAACATTAACCATACAAAAAATTATAACACAATGCATATATATATATATGCTAATCTTACACTCAATCTTAAACGTTGATTTTCGTCCATCAAACGATTGTAATTAATTGGATTATTCTCATTAAATAATTATTAATTTTCAATAAATTATAACCGTCAGATATCAAAAATTAACGGTTAAGATTGAGTGTAAGAATTATTATTTTTACATCATCGATGTACGAAGATCTTGCCCCATATATATATATATGCTAAAATTATTTCTGCAGCCGTACAATAACGACAGGTGTATGGTTATGATTCCCCACATTTAATGCTTTCATCATTTGTATGGTCATGATTTCCCGCATTTAATACTTTAAAGTATATATATGGCAAGTATTTGATTGCTGCACGTACAGCAGCTGCAGAAATGTAAACCCCTATATATATATATGTGGTTTAAATTATTTAATATGAGAAATCATAACCATACAAAAAGTAAAAGCATAAAATGTGGAAAATCCTGCTCATACACTTGTCATTGCTGCACGTACAACGTTAGATATTATTTTACCAGTATATATATATATATATATATATATATATATATATTTGACTCCAGAGTAAGACTTAAAAGTCTTACTCCTCATCGCAGCCGTTGATTTACTTTCATCTAATGGTTATCATTTAATAAATTATAACAATTAATTATAAGCGTTAGATGAACGGAAATCAACGGCTGCGATGAAGAGTAAGATTTTTAAGTCTTACTCTTGAGTCAAATGATCCCTCCCCACATATATATATATATAGATATATATGGGCTTATCATTTTTCAAGCTGCTTGAGATAATGTTATCTCCTGCTACTAAATCATAATCGTACAAAGATGGATCAATGGTGATAAAGGAAGAGAGAGAAAATGAGAATCATAACTATTCAAAGGTGAATCAATTAATATAAGGAAATAAATAAACAAAACGACGTAGTTTTAAGGTGGCCGGAGATAAACTTATATCAAGCAACTTGAGAAATATTTTTCCCTATATATATAGTGGCGGACCCAGAAAACTTTATTTATGTATGCATATTAAGTCCGAATATTTAGTGGAGGGGGTTTAAGGGCAGTGGCTCCAAAAAAAAATTTAAACAAAGTTTTAAATGCATTAAAGATAAAAGAATATAAACAAAAAAGGGATTTATATCCCTCATATTAGATGAACCAAATTTTCTGTCATGTTAAGAAAAAGACATGATCAATTCATTGAATAATATGTCATCTCACTTTCTTTAACAGTATATAACTTTTCTTTTTAGTACATGTGCTTGTTTTCCTGGCAAAGCAGCCATTTAAATTTCTCCTTCAGTGACATTGCTAATTAATTAAAAAATGTATGACGAAATGTATGTGTGTACTTGCACACATTGGCAACCAAATAGGTCCGCCAATGTATATATGTGTGTGTGTGTGATAACGCATATTTTGTTACACTTATTTATTACTTTTGGTTAGTATTTTTAGGATTTATTTGAGTTAAATAAAGGTCTTTCAGGTCAAATTAGAAATCTAGATTTTAATTGGGTTTAATTGATTTTTGGCCATATCTCACTATACAGATGTCTGCTTGACTCCGTTCTTGTTGCGTTTTGCAGCTAATAGAAAGGGCTACAATTTCTATTTCAGCCACTGAAGCCCAAGTCAGATGAGAAGATGGTCGAAATCTGAGCCCAAGATGACGTGTTTTGCTGGAATTTTATTTTAACGTTTAGACTTGTAAATTAAATTAGAACCCAATGTGTTTAGGGCCCAAGGCCATGTTTTAATGTTTTATTTTATCTTATTAAGTTTTTATTTTATGTATGGGCCGAAATGGTGGATCCCTAACCCGTTCTGAATGTGGATTATTTAAGGGAAACTTTAGGAAATCCTTCGGCAGTTAGATTTTGGATTAAACGATTGTTTGAAGTTTTTCTTTGAAATTCAAAATTCTGCACTCTTTTCTTTTCATCATCTTCTTCTCTTTTTGTTTTATTTTGAATGATGTTTAACCTCGCGATGCTAGGCTAAACACGTTTAATCAATCTAAGGATTAAGGGTTCGTTAGTTTATTTAAGAATATATGCTTTTACTTTTTAATCAATTTCATTTTTTTCCAATTCAGGTTGAATATCATGCGAGTGTAGGTATTCAAACTGAATAATGCGAATGCATTCTATAAAGGAAAATTGATTATTAGATTTAATGGTCAGATTAATTAACCCGATGAACGTAAGTTGAAAAGGTTAAAACTACTGCGATTGCATAGTTGAAATACTATATTCAACCAAATGCTAGGCGATAGTCTAGAGAGGGTTTCCAATTGAATTTGAGGATTCCGAATTCAATTGGGGTTAATCACAAATTGATAATTTTATTTTTATCCAATGACGAAATAAATTAATGAAACCAAATTCCTTAGGTTGATTGCTTTTAATTTTGATTTTTAAATCCCAATTTCAATTTTGTTTTTATTTAAATTTCAAATCAACAAAATCCCCCTTTCCCTTTTATATTCTATTTTTATAGAGTATTTTTTTATTTTTAGCAGGTTTTTTGGGAGACGATCCAAATTGCCCTATCACTACAAACCTAAAGCTCGGTAATTTGCGTGGGTTCGACAGTCTACGTCAAATTTGGCGTTGTTGCCGGGGAATCTGCACGTCAATAACGTTCTTCCTCTCTCCCTTTTTCTTTCTCTAATTTTTATGTTTTCTGTTTCAGCTTCTTCTTCTTATTTTTTCTTTTAATTTTCATTTTTGTGTTTATGTTAATATATATATATATATATATATTCGTTTTCTGCAGTTTTCATTTTGGGTTATCTGTTTGTTGTTTCTATTTTCTGTTTACTGTTTTGTTTTCGATTTAGAATTTCTGTCTGCATATTGTTTTTGCATCTATTTCGTTTTTCTGTATCTATCTCATCTGTCTGCATTCTGTTTCGTCTTGCTTCCTGTTTCAGGCTTTGCATTCGTGTGCATTTCTGCATGTGTGTTCTGCATATTGTTTTGTGCCCTATTTATTGCTTTTTGATCTACATCTATTATTGCATTCCGATTTGCACCTATTACTGCATCTGTTATTGTATCTTCTCTATCAGTTATTGCATTCTCTGCATTACAGCGTGCGTTTTTGGGCATTTTTGAGCGATTGGTCAGACTTCTGTCTAAGAGATTAGTTTCAGGAGCTCTATTTCCAAAGGAATTCGACCTTCAGAGCATAACTCACTCCCTAAAAGGGAGTGCGATCACCCTTATTTTATCAAATTCTGCCATTTACTAACCCGTTTTGATGTTTCTTTGTCGTTTCATGACGTATAGGGTATTTCTGCACTTGATCGACTTGCTCTGATCGCTTTGAAAATTGGTGACCTGAAGGAGGTGATCATCCCGATCAAAAGTCATAAATGATGAAGGCCCAATTTTAGCCAAATTCCTTTGTTTACTATTTTATTTTATTTTTTGAAAAAAAATTTATTTGACTTTTGAGTTCGTATGGTCAATTAAACTTTAAGAGAGTTGGTCCCATAGTGTTTTGAGGTCGTTTGATATTTTCGTAGATTTATTTTTGCTTCTGTTTGTTGTTTTCAGTAGTTTTTGTGTCATATCGTATGTTTTGTGATCTTACTGCCATATGCCTGTGCCTGTAATGCATGACTAGGAGTACTACCAGTGTTGATGATTTATATTCATATGACCCTGAGATAGAGAGATCAATGCATGCTGTTAGTAGA